GAAGCCGTGACCAGACGCACGAAAATGCTCGCATCCACGACCCTCAACCCCATCGTTTTCTTGACTGTGAGGTCCGGGTTGACGACTCCATCCTCCGAATCCCGAGGCGCCATCTTCGCCGTGCCGACGGGATGAAAGACTGTCCCCGCATTGTTTCGAGCGTATGTCTCCAGCTCCTCATCCGTCGTCGCCTCGTTCAAAGCTTCTACTTGAGATATGACGTATCCCTTCCATGCTGCGGCAGCGACGAAGCGTCTAACTGCCTTCATCGCTTCGCGGACGGCGAATATATCGAAGGCAGAGTTCAACAAGGCGGGATCAATCACCGGAGGATCGAACGGGTTCTTCGATGCCAGCGTGATCGAGCCGCCTGAGGCTTGTGAGTGCTAAGTCAAGGAGGTATGGGAAGGTACTCACGGGAAGTCGGCGTGATGACATTTGATGCTACCAGCATGTAGTTGCCAGTGGCAGGAGCGGGCATCACATATGACAAGAATGTTTCCTGGCATTCAAAACGAGTAAGCAAAGAAACCGCCGGTCCGCGCTAAGTACTCACCGCGAAGAAAAATTCATAATGAGGTGAATGGGGCCCAGACGATGGATCTGCTTCTGTCTGAAAGATCGTCGCATTCGATGGCAGTCTCAGCCAGCCCATCTCCAGAGATGGAGAGCTGGTGAAGAGACCAGTCCTATTGGCTTCCCACTGGGCAAGGTCGGCAGTCGACAGCGAGGCGTTCCGGGCGAGGTTATCCCAAGTAGAGGTGCTGTTCACCGCGAACACGTTCGGCATCAACGGGTGGTCCTGTAGGTTCTGCCCTACGTCGGGCAGATCGACGACTGGCTCAATGCCGAGCGTCTTCAGGTGTGTAGCGGGGCCGATACCGGAGAGCATAAGGAGCTGCGGAGTGTTCACGGCACCAGCAGAGACGATGACTTCTCGCATCACATGTAGCTCGTGAACTTCACCTGGGTTGACTCGATTAGCTGCGACGATACGCGCTCAAGATGGTCTAAGGCACACTTGTTGGAGACGCAGCGAATTGCACGCCGCGGAAGATCGGGACGCCGCTCTCCGACCCGGTCTGGACTATTTTCGTGACTTGTGTGTTGACCAAGATGTCGAGATTTGGTCGAGAGAGTATTGGCGCCAGGTACGCCGTAGCGGCGCTGGTCCTAGTCCCGCCTGCGATGGCATACTGACCCCAGCCTGTGTGTTGTTCTGACAGCGGTAATGACTGCGACGATTTGGGCGACTCACCGATGCCGAGAGGGTTGCCCGAGTTCTGGTCTTCGTTGTACGGAAACTCGGGAAGTTCTTCGGTCGTCGCAAATATACGAGAGTCCAACTCCGATGGATAGCCTTGGACACTAAACTTGACCGGGCCCCTGGTACCATGAATGGAAGGTAGTATCTGCCCAGAGGTGTTATGACCGTCCGCAGGAGGGACCATGCCCTCTATCTGTTCATGCCAGTATTCAGAATGATACAGCGCAGAAGGAGCCAAGGACGGACGCTTTTCGCAAGAGATCTTACGGCATTCCAGGACCAACCCGGGTCAGATGCGACAGCCGCATACCTGTCGAAGTCGCTTTGCGGTCCCCGAGTCCAGGCCATATAATCTGTCAAAGACGTCTAGTCAGATTTCTTGCAGTATTCACGTGGAGTAACTCACTAATGGAGCTTGAGCCACCAAGAACGCGACCTCGGGGATACGGAATGGAGCGATTGTTCAGACCTGGTAGAGGGACAGTGGTATAATTCCAAGTGACCGCCGTATCGGGTGCGAGAGTAGTGCATAGGAAGGGTATGTGCACTATAGGAAGTACATCGTCGCTAAACGGAATTAGTCGAGGTAAGAGAAAAGAGACGTCAGCCAAGACATACGTAGGTCCAGCTTCGATCAAGAGCACCGTGTTGGAGGCCTCAGCAGACAACCTGTTGGCGACGACGCTCCCTCCGGGGCCCGCTGAATGATCGTTAGGATACGGACTGAACGTAAGGCTCACAGAGCTTACCTCCGACTACCACGAAGTCATACTGTCGGTATGGAAGCTGCAATGGGTTGGTATATACTTTAGCGAGAGCCGTTGGCAAGACCGACGCGAAGAAGAGCAAAGGTTGCATGAGAAAGCTGGAAGTTGTGGGTGAAGGCTGTATGTAGATGGAGTCTTTTGAACTACTCGCGTAGCAGTGAGTTTCGGTTGAGCGCTCTAGAGGATGTCAAAACATCTTGAAGGGTATAAGACTCGTCTGAAACACCCGCGCCCAGTATGAGGGTCGCTGTCAGGAAACGGTGTAGGGAAGTGAGGCTGGCGTAAAATATCAGGGTATTTACAGTGGTATATGGCCAGGGCAACTCGCAAGAGCAGGCTTTGCGGATGAAGCTTGATGAATCTGGAACAACTGGGGAGACAGATTGAGGACACATGGATCCCTGACGGGTGCTGTGGCTGTCGACGTACGACTGACACCACGTCCTTGCCGCAATGAGTCCTCAGCAAAGCCCTACTTCAGCTGTTGACTGAGCGGAAAGGTGCAAGTGGTAGGCTGGCACATGAAGACGGCGCCTCAATCGATCGGGAGACAAGTTCAACCAGCGTCTCGATGATCGAGGGCAATGAGGAAAACCGTTCGGGGCGCTTCCTGCCCTGAAATGCGCAGGGTATAGGGTCGCCGGCGGTCGCGCGTTTTTGAAGCAGATAAAGTCGACACTGAATCCTGAACGCAACTGGTCAGTCGGCGACCCTCGATGTATTGACACTCGGGGGATAAGATAAGGTCGATGAGGTCTGGCTGCCGGACGGGATCCATACGAGACAGCGTTACTCGCGGTGTTGACACCCGCATGACGCTAGTCGCGACTCGCAGTGGGTCGAGTTCAGATCGTCTTCCAGGTTGTTGGAGACGTGCAGCGACGACGATGACGGTCAAGTCGCGGGTCGGAGGACCGAGCGCACTCACCGTGTCCGAGAAAGTTGAGCGCCCCGTCCCTCTACAGGATTTTGCTGTTACTCCCCTCGATTTTGCCTCTCTCCTGGGCCGTTCACACCACTCTGCCATTCCAAGACCATTTTGAATGCGAAGAAGCGTGTCAGCGCGTCATGACGCGGACGATATAGAGAAGACGTGGCGATGGACCGGATGGAGGAGCGCTCGAAGGCGGCGAGTACAACAAGACGCAGACGCAGTCCGTGAATTGTGATATACGTATGGGTTTGCTGTGAGTGGTCCTGTATTCGAGTATTCGAAGAGTCGTTGTCGCGGTTGCCAGCTGGGATGGGTGAAGTACTGTACTGAGTCTGCTGGCGCTTCAACGCAAGCGCTTTGACTTCAACCACTACCAGCAACTTCTTGAATTCAGCGGCGACTCTCCAGCGACTGTGATGCAAATCCAGTCTCCTTGTGCTCTTCACCATGCACAGACCTGTCTTGCTTTCTATTCGGCCTGCTAGATGGTCGTGTATACCTGAGGTAAGTATACTACTGGGATCGACAAACCCCGCGGCACCCCGTCGCAGTCTTAGTGCCATACGGGCACACCCACTTGGCCACATTGTGTCTTGATGGGCACCATTTCAGAGCTTTGGAAAGCCAGCTTCCCCGGCGGACGCCTGGCGCATAACGCTGTGCTTCGAGTCGCCGCTTTGTTCTTTCTTGGTACTGTGTAACTCGGCGTACCGGCGCTAGAGTACAACGACTTGGTCCAACCTCCCGCTCGACGCCTTATACTTCGTCTCGCTCCCCTTGTATTCTCCTCTCTGTTGCAGCTAGCGACGGACCCATGCCAACATCCGCGTCTTCGCCCGGGAACGATATCAACATACGTATAAAGACCAAACCAGCCGATAGCGATGCCCTTGCGACCTGTCGCCTTCTCCACCCTCCAGCGGCCCCATCCTCTACCATGGAGGTAGAGCCCACATCCCTCAAGGCTGATTTTCAGCGCCTCTCTGTTTATATCGACCGTTACAACCCGACCTGTCTCGAATGGCTCAAGGTCGCCCGCATGTACTGTTTCGGCTCCCCCATTCGCCGCAGGGCCGAGGAACATCCAAACGCCACCCCCGGGTACGCCTTCCTACCCCTGCACATGTCCTCGCGATCGCTCACAGCGCTGCGGCGTCCAGGTGCGTCCGCGTCGAGCTGTGGGCAGAGCGGCTGCCTGCGTCGGTCGCGCGCCTCGACACCATCGACATCCCGCTCGAGCCAAACGGCGACGTCAATTTGCGCCACATCCGACAGTGGTGGGGCGTACAATGTGAGGTGTGCCTCAGCTTCTCTCTATTCCTTCTGCGGCCTCACCAGTGACTTCTACAGCCCGTATCGTGGGATATCAAGGAGGTCTTCTACCCCGCGAATGACGATAGGCTGTCCGCGCTGGCTCTGTACAACCTGAGCGACGGGCGCAACAAGCTGCGCATGTTCTGTGCGTTCCATCTTCCGACTAGTCCTCTGCACCGTCGTCTGATTCGCAGGAACGCACGGCAGACTGGCGCGAGCCTGGCGATGCATTCAGCGTAGAGAACCTGGGCACGTGGCAGCACCAGCTGCAGTACACGCGCCGGGCGTTCGCCGGGTGCCCTTCGTGGTATGGGAACCGCCTCTTTGTGTTCTGTCTTGTGCTTTGTTGGTTGATGGCTGCGTTGCCCAATGCGTGGGCCGCGCTTGCGAGCTGCTTCCATCTGGTTTCCGTATCCATGCTTTCGTCCTTCTAGTGTTTATATCCTCTACGTCTCTATGCTCTCTATGCCGTTCGGTCATTATGCAGGTTCTCGTTACCCTTATGTCATGTCTTCTATGCAGCAATCATAACTTTCCCATGTCTGAAGTGTGAGGATACACAAAACAGTCTGATGCAATGATGCTCCGGCTGCTACATACTGCCTAGAAATACATTAGAACTAAATCTGTTGATTGTATGTCGATCTTATGTATCTAGGTTTACTATTGACTTCTCAGCAACACACCATTGAGTCCCAGTGCCTGATGCAAGGCTCGCGGTCTTGTAGTGTAGTGGTTTAGCACCCGAGGTTTTGATCTGTCGAGACATCCTCGTGACCCAGGTTCGAACCCTGGCAAGACCTTCCGGATGATGTCGAGGACCTTTTGCCACTACCGCAGACGAGAGTACGTCAAGTATTCATTATCCTTCGTAAGTTAGTGTCAAATGGTAACAGCATGTGCAGCTGCAACCGCATTCATAACATCCCCCTCTTCCTGGCTGAGATCGATGGACGAACCCTCTACGAACTTCGCACTCACTAGTACTGCGATTAAGCGCGGTTTGTATGGAAGGCCGATTCCCGTTTCAAGCGTCCGCCAATCGCGCCGATGCTATAAATCCAACGCTACACGAATCTTATATGGTATAAGCCCACGCACCCGCAACCATATTCATCTCATCTTCCTGGAAGACACTATGTCAATCTCACAGAGCGGAAGAAGCTTCGAGTAAGTAAGGCCATACGCACCTCAATAATCACTATGCCATCCTCGCAAAGCATGGTATCAACCCGAAACATCGCTTCTGATGTCATCATCTCCATCAGCTTTCCTGGTACAGGTACCTCCTGGACGATGCAGGAGAGCTTCGTCTCGACGACGTCCATCCCGTTCTCAGCGATTGTCCCGCCGCGCACGATCGTGGTATCATTGTCTCCATTCCGCTGTCGCGCCAGAGCGCGGGCGACGCGCTGCGGGTGGTAATCAAAGACGGTCACTGTCGGCGCTATGTCAAGAGATGGGAGCATGATTATCGCCGCCCTAGCCCCTTGGACAAGGGCGCCTTTGAGCTGTCGAGTCGGCCGTGGAATCACTCGGCTACCCAGCGGCCCCCACTGGTTCCATGGCACACGAACGGTCGATTCGACTGTCGCCGGTAGCGATGCGATGCAGGACAGGAAGGTATGAGCCGGGATGTGGAAGGTGAGACTCTGTACGGTGTCAACGCGATAATACACGTCTACGGAAAAGACCCTGTGGGCGGGATCGGTATGGAAGTAGCCCGAGGCCCAAGGGCTTGCAGAGCGCCACGGTGATACGTTACAGGAAAACTCGGTTTCGCGGTGCTGCAGGAATTCGGGGAGTAGGAAGATGTAGGATTGTCCGGCCGGTCTAATGAGATCCTCGGGCCCAGATTCCTCCTCTCTGAACCGGATGATCCGCAAACCAACGCTTTCTTGGTCACTGGGTTCTTGGTATCTGTTGGATTTGCTGATGGTGAATCGAGGATCAAGGAATAACCAAGGGCTATCCGTCGCGTAAGGGTGAGATCGCACCTGCCAAGGTCGAAACGTCGCGTGAGTCATGGTTGGGGTGGTCAAGACGAGTATACGAACTATTTCATAGACTGAGTTGCCGGTCTTCCAGTTCCACACACGGACATTTGAGCCATAAACGGCGTCCTCCAGAAGATAATCCCCGCAGATACCGGTGATACCCACGGCACGACCAGTGTTCAGGACGCCACGATTGCACGCCAGTGGGTGTGTTTCCCCGGTGGATAGTGTTCGCAGATGGTGGCAGCTACAAATAAATAACGTAGACTATCAACCTTTCACCCCGATGGCGAAAGGGGGGATTGTGCACTCACCGTATTGAACGATCTGTCCAGATGAGCAGATTCTGGGAATAATCCACTAGGGCTTCGCAGTACTGCGAATCTTGGAAAGAGACTTCGAGATGAGTTTCCTGAACCCCACGCAGTATCGAAGGAGTTCTTTGCAGCAGAGCCTTCGAGCCTCCCGCGAGAAATACCAAGACGTCATCAGAGCGACAAAGATTTCTAGATAATGTCGTGGACACGTAGAATCCGACAAGGTGGGTAAGTGTTTCTTGCTTCGCCCATCGTAGTTGTCTCCATGCCATATCATACAGCCTCAGTTGCCTAAGCCGCTCCCCGATCGTGGAGTCCAAGCCTTCAGGATGTGGACACAGGCCATCGACCATCCCACATGCTGCCAACTCGATGCTGTACTGCAGCGCGACAGAATCGTCGATTGCTTTGTTCAGGGTCTTACACGCCTGCAGTGAAGATCAAGTACCTCAGTTCAACTGGACGACCTGCGTGCGAGTCGAGAGGCATCAAACCGGCGTACATACCACTTTGCAGGATATCAGATCCTTGAAATCGAGATTGCCCAGGATTTCAAGTAGCACATCTTCGGGTAGTTTGGGCAAGTTTAGGACCATGGTGAGGACATACACTATGTACTAGTACAATCGATGTCGAGGGTCGAGGTCAAAGTCAATCGGAGAAGGACCTGACTCCCCACTGCGGACTCGGAGTCGAGAGGGCGATAGTGAGAAATGAGATTGTTGTTCGAAGATAAGTCTCTGAGAAGTCCTAATCCGGCCCAAGCCCCGAGACGCGCTACATCGCAAATCTTGCCAGTCTCTAGTAGTTCAAGTTGGGCCTCTTAGCTCAGACCTGAGAGTAGGGAGGAGTCTGCCAACTGTCTTGCAACGAAGCCCACGGTTCAGATTACTATCTCCTGATGATATACTGCTAGTCGATGTATACGTACAAGCACGCGGCAGATACTTATAAACACAGAGCCAGACTCCACACAAGGAGACAACGAAAAGACAGAGCTCGGGCGTCGAGGACGTATGGAATGTATATAGGTGTCAGCAGAAGGCAATACGCGGTTTATTAGCGAGCGTGAGTAGTCGGCGGGGGCGCGGCGCACGACAGGGAGCGGGGGCAAGGAGGGGTGCTGTCCGTTGGTCAGTCAGACGATCGGCCCGGAACGAGGCGATAATAGGATGAGTAGAACGAACGGACGTATCGGATCGGAGAGAGAGAGGACGAGGAATAATAAAAAGGACGCATAGTGAAGAAGGAAGAATATAAAAAAGAGCAGTCGAGACGAAAGCCAAGGTGATAAAAAGGGTACAACCAATAGCCCAATATCCGCACGCGCCGCACATCACCATCTCGGGGAGATCAGACGATGCCATCGACCGGGCGGATCCGCTACCGTCGTCCTTCCATCCACTGTAAGGTTTTCGGGGTTTTCGCAAGGGGAAACGGAACGAGAGCAAGCAGAATTCTGGGATGATATAGACGGCTTTTCGACAGGACGCATTCACAACGGCCACGTTGAGGGCGCCGCAAATACACAGGGGGTATCTTGGAGACCAGGCGTATCGAGACAGACGAGGGCACAAGGAAAGAGGTATTAGGTGGAATAGGAGGTGATGCGTTGCGTTGATTAGGCCTCGGCGTGGGTCTCCTGCGCCTCCACCGGAGCCTCGGGAATCGCCTCGACTTGATGTTCGGTCCCGTTCTCCATGGTCGCGTCGTACCCTTCATCCTCGCCTTTGTATGCGTCGCTGTCGTCGCTGGGGATCGGGCCGGCGGACGGAGGGCCGTTCCCGCTGGCAGAGCGGCGGGCGCTGGACCCGCCTTGAGGGCCGGACCGCGGAGGGTTGGCGCAGCGGTCCTTGCCATGCGCGATGCGCAGGTTGGCATAGTCTGGCTTGTTCTTCACGCCGTCGATCGCCTTGATGGCATTCGAAATATTCGTGAAATTAACAAACGCGCAGTTCCTGCAAACGCTGTCAGTCCGTCTGATTAACGAGAAGAACGCACACGCACTTTTCCTTGAGGAAGTTAACGAGCTCGATGTCCCCGAACTCGCCAAAATCCCTCTTCAGCCGCTCCTCGCTAAACGTCTCGAAGTCCTCGATGTTCCCAATGTAGACGTTGCGCGTGGCGCCCGAGTGCACCGCGAGCGCGAGCGCGGGCGGCAGGGGGCCAGAGTTTTTGCCCCAACCAATCTTGAGGCGGCGGTTGTTCAGCGTCAGGCCCTGGTACGCGGCGACTTGGAAGAACGTGAACGCCGCTGCGGGGTCAATGAACGTGACGAACTACGACACACAACGACATCAGCGCCCATTTGCAGCCAGAGCTTCGGATTACGCACAGCGATATGCTTGTCCTGCATGTAGCGGATGCTCTGCAGGACGCCGCCCCGAATTGCATTGCAAAGGTCCTCGGGCGTCGTCTCTGGGTGGATGTTCCCCAGGTAAACGGTCCTGTTGAGGCTCTGGCTGCCTTGCATTGACATGCCATCCGGCGTGAAGGGCGAATACGGCGTGAAGGGCGAGAACGGAACCGTCGAACTCGTGTTGATCGGCGACAGCTGGGCCGCTGACTGTGCGACGAGTGATTGCGCCGCGGCGGCTTGGGCGGCCTGGGCTGCTGCCTGCTGCGACTTCGGGATGTACGCGCAGCGGTCTTTGCCGTAGTTCACGCGCTTGCCGGCCCACGCGGGCTCCGTAGGGAGGGTGTTGACGACCTAGATCCACACCCGCACAAATTAGCACGCATATATGGACAAAAACGCCGGACACACCTTGGTCGCCACGGAGATGCTCAGGAAGTGGACGAAGCCGATGTTCTTGTCCCTGACGATTTTGACCTGGTCGATAAGGCCGAAGCGACTAAGGTCGTCGCGGAGCTGCTCCTCGGTGGTGTTCTCATCGAGCCCGCCTAGATAAACGTTGCGACTGGCGTTGCTCTGGCTGATGGCGAGCCCAACCTGGCTCGGGACGGGCGACGGCTTGCCCCATCCAATCTTGAGCTCCTGGCCGTGCAGCGCGAGTTTCTTGATGGTGGCGTCAGCGTGGAACGCGGCGGCGGTGGAGCCGTCGAGGAACGACAGAAAGACGCATGATTTTTCGGGGAGCACGCGCACAGATTCGAGCGGGCCGAAGTGAACGAGGTTGAGGAGCTCGTCGACGGATGCCGTCGATGGCAGATTGCCGACGTACACGGTGCGCCCGGTCGCATTGGTCGATGCGGTCAGCGCGGCGCTGAGCGCAGCGCCAGAGTAGGTTGCGCCGGGGGTGCCGAGGTTCAGCGACGGCACGCGCGACGGGTTAAAGCCCTGCGACAGCCTCAGTACAAAAAAGCCCGTGATAGTGGCCACCCACCTGCGCAAAATTTCCCATCTGATTGCCATACGGGAAGCCGAGGACTCCCATCCCTGGGAGCCCCATTCCGAGCATATTGTACCCACCGAAGCCGTATGCATTGCCGTTGAGTTGCTGCTGCTGAGCCTGTTGCTGCGCCTGC